GAATGCTTAAGGAGGAGACAGAATGGCAGAGAAGTAGGAAGAGGAGGGGAGCACCAAGGGAAGAGAGAGGGAGTTGGCAATAGCCCTAATTTCTCCATGCTGAGTGAGAGCTAAGATTATTTGGGAGGCTTGGATGAGGGCTCACCTGGGAGCCCAGGTCTTGTTTGCTTTTGGGGATGCAGCTCTGTTGGAAGGGCTTGGAGGATAAACAAGGTTGGGGAAAAAGGAGGAAGGAGGTATTTGACTCAGCAACTCTTAGAGGACCCTCCTTTGTGTCCCTGGTAAACTATGAGAGCCAGTGAAACATCTCATGTGTCCCCAAGGCCTGACATTGTACCTGGCATGAACACATTGCCCTGTGGGATTAAATTTTTAAAATAAGTAAAGAAATGCTCATTTATTGTGCATAAACTCATTTAATTTATTGCAAAGTAGTTATGGCAAGGCACCCAGGTAAGACCACAAGACAGTTAATTAGGGCTGGAGAAACGTAACAGTATAAGATTAGTCAGATGGCTAGAGTTAAAATCTTTAGACTTCGTTGTTGTTATTAGGTGCCAGCAAGTTGTCTCTGACTCATAGCGACCTTATGAACAACAGAGTAAAACACTGCCCAGTCCTATGCCAGCCTCACGATCCCTGCTATACCTGAGCCCATCTTTGTAGCCACTGTGTCAGTCCATTTTGTTGAGGGCCTTCCCCTTTTCCATTGACCTTTCACTTTATCTTTTCCAGGGAATGGACCCTTCTGACAACATGACCAAAGAATATAAGACCAAATCTGGCCATTCTCACTTCCAAGGAGCATTCTGACTGCACTTCTTCCAGGGAAGATTTGTTAGTTCTTTTAGCAGTCCATGGTACTTTCAGTATACTTCACCAGCACCACAACTCAAAACCATCAACTCTTTGGTCTTCTTTATTCATTATCCAGCTCTCCTATGCATATGAGGCAATTGAAAATACCATAGCCTGAATCAGACACAGCTTAGTCTTCAAGGAGACATCTTTGCTCTTCAGCACTTGAAAGAGGTTCTTTGCAGCAGATTTGCCCAATGCAATACATCATCTGATGTCTTGACTGCTGCTTCCGTTGGTGTTGATTTAGAACCAAGTAATAAGAAGTCTTTGACAACTTCAATCTTTTCTCCCTTTATCGTGATGCTATTTATTGATCCAATTGTAAAGATTTTTGTTTTCTTTATATTGAAATGTAATCCATACTGCAGACTGTAGTCTTCGGTCTTCACCAGTAAGTGTTTCAAGTCATCCTCACTTTCAGCAAGCAAAGTTTGTCGTCTGCGTAGCGCAAGTTATTAATGAGCCTTCCTCCAATCTGGGTGCTGTGCTTTTCCTCATATGGTCCAGCTTCTTAGATTATGTGCTCAGCATACAGATTGAATAAGTATGGTGAAAGGATACAACCCTGACGCACTCCCTTCCTGATACACTTTGGGCTTTTACTTTTAACTGGTGGTATTAGGATAAAGGCTTAACTACGACATTCTGTGGTAAGTGAAGGTCCCTTGTAGCTGTGGTCCAGAGACAGCAGCCACGGGAAAAATCGGTCACTGCTTTCTCTCATGAATGTGCTGAAGTTCATGGTTTATGTATGATTCTCTCACCTTAGCTTTACACGACAAGGGCCTGGTGATGTGATGTTTAACAAAGACTGTTGTTATGTGCCATTGAGTCAATTCTGACTCATTGCAATCCCATGTACAACAGAACAAAACATGGCCCAGTCCTGAGCCATCTTCACAAACCCCAACTATCACAATGGTTGATGTGCAAATTTGAATAATAGTCATATTAACTAGTCTTCCTTATAGGTGTATGGATATCATCCTACCACTGACAGCATTGTACTTCAGGACAGATATGTTGTTGTTAGGTGCCGTTGAGTCGTTTCTGACTCATAGCGACCCCATGCACAGCAGAACAAAACACTGCCTGATCCCGCGCCAGCTCCACGATCCCTGCTATACTTGAGCCCATTATCGCAGCCACCGTGTCAATCCATCTCGTTGAAGGCCTCCCCCTCTTTCGTCGACCCTCCACCTTACCAACCATGACATCCTTCTCCAAGGAATGGTCCCTTCTGACAATATGACCAAAATAGGTGAGACGAAGTCTGGCCATTTCCGCTTCCAAGGAGCAGTCTGGCTGCACTTCCTCCAGGACAGATCTGTTAGTTCTTTTAGCAGTCCGTGGTACTTTCAGCATTCTCCGCCAGCACCACAACTCAAAAGCATCAACTCTTCTTCATCTTCCTTATTCATTGCCCAGCTCTCACATGCATACGAGGCGATTGGAAATATCATGGCTTGTGTCAGGACAGATCTAGAAATGTTCTTTTTGATGATAAATGTGATGCCATTCCTCTTCAATTTATCATTCCTAGCATAGTACACCATGTGATTTTCTGATTCAAAATGGCCAATACCAGTTCATTTCGGCTCACTAATGCACAGGGCATTGATCTTTATGCATTCCATTTCATTTTTGACAAGTTCCAATTTTCTTAGAATCATACTTCATACATTCCACATTCTGATTATTAATGGATGTTTGCAACTGTTTCTTCTCATTTTGGGTTATGCGCATCAGCAAATGGAGGTCCCGAAAGCTTTACTCCATGCACATCAAGAAGGTTGACTCTGCTTTTACTTCCCCGGGTGCATTCTGAGCGCCTTCCAACCTGAGGGGCTCATCTTCTAGCACTGCATCAGACAGTGTTCTGCTGCTGTCTGTAAGGTTTTCACTGGCCATTTTTTTTAAGAAGTAGATTGCCAAGTCCTTCTTCCTACTCTGCCTTAGTCTGAAAGCTCCACTGAAGCCTGTTCCCCTTGGGTGACCCTGCTGGTATTTGAAATACTGATGGCCTAGCCTCCAGCCTCACAGCAACACACAAGCCCGTAGGACCACAAGCTGACAGCCAAGTACTGGCTAACAAAGACTAGTATGTTACATTTTTTTCTCTCACATCAGAGATTACCTGTATGTAGCATCTTTTCTTTAAGGTTAGAGATTAAGGGGTTGTTTATGATTATTTAATCTCTCAAAGCCACCTCATAGAGATTTAACAATATGGTGCATTTTCTTTATCACAGCATGCAGGTGTAAAGCCAATTTAGAGAGATTGTTTACAATGCACCTCACATACACTCACATCCTTCTGTTTCTCTATCTGAATTCAGAATTTTTCTATTTCTAACCTCACATTATAAGTGACTTATACATATGGAAGGAGCTCTAGAGATGTAGTGGTTAAGGCACTTGGCTGATAATCAAAAGTTGGTGGTTCAGACCCATCAGCTGCTCTAAGGTAGAATGATGGAGCCGTCTGGTTCCATAAGGATTTACAGCCTTGGAAACCCAATGGGGGTCACTACGAGTCAGAATCAACTCAATGGCAGTGAGGTTTTTTTGGATACATATGTGGTTTAAGAATATTACAGAGGCAAACCACATGCATTAATATATGTGGTTTGAGAACATTACAGAAACATCCATACACACATGCTCAATTAACATTTGTCAGTCACATGAGTGAACAAATGAATGTTTGAAGCTTCTCTGAAGGCAAGATGAAGCCACGAAATAAGCATTATTGGAAGTCAAACAGGCTTGGGTTTCATTCCCAGATCCTTTGCAAACTAGTCTCCCAGAATTGGGCAAGATATTGGGTTACTCTGGGCTTCAGTTTCCTTATCTTTAGAACAGTGCTGAACCCACTGGCCTCACACTATTGTTAGAAGAGTAATCTTTGCAAACATGTCCAGTAAGTAGATACTGGCTGGATTTGAAGCGGAAGAAAACATCATGTAGTCTCACGGGGGAATAGAATTGACCACTAGAGACTAATTTACAGGGAAAGGTGGGCTGTGATTTGCCATTAACAATAGTGTAGATGTATGCATGTTGCATCAAAGGGCTTTGGGGGCAGGAGAGGGAGCTGAGGTGGTTGGAAGCTTGGGGAAGAGGTAGGAGCTTGAAGCTTAAAGGGGAGGGGGTGCTTTGGAGACACAAAGAAGTGAAAGGTGGGCACAGAGGCTGAGGGTCTGTGAGGCAGGTACTTTGGGAGTCTGCCCAGATTAGAATGGAACATTTGTGCAGGGGGTGGTGGTCCAGCTGAATACAACGCTGAATGGGAGAGACAGGAGGAGAGAGAATTAAGAAGGCTCTGGGGAGTTTCTGGGTGGTGGAAACAGTTAACATACTCACTGCTAACTGAAAGGTTCAAGTTCACCCAGAGACACCTCGGAAGAAAAGCCTAATGATCTACATCTAAAAATCAGCCACTGAAAACCCCATAGAACACAGTTCTACTCACGGGGTCAGCATGAGTCAGCGTCCACTCAACTGGTTTTTGGTTTAGATGAGTCCAGGAAGGTTCAGGGTGCTTTGGTGGACTATATATTGCCACTGGAGGCCTTGGGGTCCCTGAGACAGGTGTTCCCATGCCTGTGAGTCTTTCTTTTAAAAATTCACATCAGTATTTTACAGTCTCTGAGAAATCCTATAGGTAAGAAGCCTGTTTAACTTTGCTTCCAGAAATTTTCAAATGCCTCTGTCCCTGGAACCTGTGTGTGTGTGTGTGTGTGTGTATGAAGAACCTTGTGAGAACAGTATTCTGAAGAACAGCTTTTAGGAAATGTTACTATAAGGGCAAGTACATGGATTTGAGGACTCTACCAGCCATGATTCAAATCCTGCTGTATGACCTAATAGATGTTGGACTTTGGCCCTCTGTTTCTCAGGGCTGCTGTGAGAATTAGGAAAAACACATAGTTAAATTGCATGTGGTTAGCTGTCTGGTTTTGCTGCTGGCCTGGTCCTTGTTCCTTCCCTGAGCAATACTCTCTGTGTTACAGGCTCTCCGTGGGCTGCCGAAGCAGTATTAAGTAATGGGGTTCATGGAACCTTGACTGAAGTTCTCCAGCAGAAGCACAGTGGCTGATGCCTTCTTTCTTTGTGCCTTCATTGGCCTTGGCACAATGGATGACAGAAATGCCCAGGTACACCCAGAGGGTAGGATCAAAGCTCTAGGGGCCCAGCCAAGCCCTGGCCTGAGGACCACCAACAAGGGGGCTAATGTTGGGCCCACCATACCAGGAGTCAGCCAGGTAGAGACCCACACCTCATGTTTTGATCCCTTCTTTCCCAGTCACCATTCCCCTCCCCTGTCTGGACCTCCTTCCAGACAGCTTAATTAAGATCTTTTTGCCACAAAATCCAATTCAAACTGGATTAAGCAGGAATGAGAATAAACAGCTTGGGTGACTGACAGCTTCAGACTTCAGGTATGGCTGGATCAAGGTGCTAATAATATATCCTCTGTGTTAGCTTTACTCTCAGGCAGGCTCTCCCTACAAGATGGCTCTGGCCACTTTGGCTCACATCTTCCTGTCTTGCATTCTCCATCTTAGCATCTGCAGAGGAAGAGAAACTCTTTGCAATAATCGGTTCAGGTCTCTGGCATCACTGTCATTGGCCCAGATTGTGGTCACATGCTTATCTGTGAACCAGTCACCATGGGTTGGGGGGAGTAGCCTGGATTCTTGGCACACTGGAGTCAGAGCTGATGCTCAGTCAGCCTCACTGAGCCCCATGACTGAGTGGAGAAAGGTAGGTTCACACACACACACACACGCACAATTACTGGCTTCTGTTGCCAGAAGAGATGCTCGTGAACAAAATAAGAATTGAGAACATTATGGAAATGACTTACTGTACTAGGTCCTCTTTATGGCATCCAGCCGTCATCATAACTTTTCATCCCCTAGGCTGAAGCCCAAGGCTTCCAGCCACACCTTCCCAATCCCCAAGCCCCTGTCCACGTCCCAAGCTTCTAACTCACCCCTGGCATGTCTTTTCAAAAGTGCCAAGTGACATGAAATGAAGTGCATGGAGAAGGCTCTTCCTCCCCACCGAGTTTTCCCAGGGCCAAAAATGTCACCATAAAAAGTCAATATTCCTGTCGCCTCTGATAGAGATCATGGGTTCCAGCAGAGGCAGAGAGAGAGCCTGGAGGGGACGAGTCTTGGGAGGAGGCTGAGGCAAATGAGTCAGGGCTTTTTTTTACCCACCCACTCATTTATTTATAGTGAGCTCTGGTGGCATAGTGCGTGCTAAGGCATTTGACTGCTAACCAGAAGGCTGGAGGTTCAAACCCACCAGCCACTCCATGGAAGGAAGATGGGGCAATCTACTTCTGTAGAGGTACTGCCTCGGAAACCCAAGGAGGGGTCGCTATGAGTCGGATTCAACTCAAGGGCAGTGAGGTTTTTTTTTTTTTTTTCACTCACTTATTCAGTAAACATTGTTTTGGGCTTCCAATTCAGTCACTTAACCAGCTGTATGACCCTGGGCATGTCACTGCACCCCTTTGAGTCTCACTTGTGTCATGGTGAGGACTAACAGGAAGGCATCTAGCACAGGCCCTGCCTCACTATAGGTACCCTGTTAGCATTGCTTGTGTCATAATCTTTTACTATAACCATCATTATCAATTAATTGAGCCAGGTCATTTGGGGTTTGCAGATTCAGTTGAGACTTGGGGTTGGTTCAAGGTCACCCACTTGGAGGGTGATAGACCAAGATGGGAATGGAAATCTAGTTCCAGAGCCTGTGCTCTGAAGTACGGGAAATTGTGGAAGGCCTCTCTCAGCCCTGCAAGGGGATTGAGGTTTCCCAGGATGCTTTCTCAAGTTGCTCTAAGGGTGATCTCCACTCAGGTGCTTATCTGGACCCTGGGTTCATGCCAGAGTCTTCAGTGCTGACCAACAGGTTCACAGCTGGGCCAGACCTTGCACCCCAGCCTCTCTTCCCCTGCCCCTTAGCTCCTCATCACCTCTGTCCAGTACCTTCCTCAGTTAGGGGCAGGATCTCCCTATGCTTGAGGCCAAGAGGATGCTCAGGGAGGTATGGGGGATCCCTCTAGAATGAGTCCCTGGGGCTAACCCGTAAGCCAGCCCATGGGCATCTCTGTTCCAGGCTGTGTTTCCAGATGTTTCAGGAATGGACAGTGGGAAGCAGCCCTCATCAGGTCCAGAAAGTCCAGAGAGGGGGTCTGGATACACAGCAGCATCAGAAGAGCTGCCTCCAGAGCTCAAGACCCTGGAGCTGAAGCTTCAGGAGGGGCCAGGGTAAGCTTGGGGGGGTGGGGGAGTTCATAGAGAGTGGGTCCAGGAAAGTCCCCCTATAACCCCCTGGAAAGATAAGAGAGCTCCTAGGCTCTCCAAGCTAGAGCACCCTGTACTTCTCTTTCATAGCATGAATCACACTAAATGATTATTTGTATTAACTATTTGTCTGGGTGCCCCCATTAGACCATAAACTACTTTTATGTGTCTCATTCAAGGGGCATTTATGTGTTTTGTTCAGCCTTGAATTCCTGGGGCCTGGCACATAGTAGATGCTCAGTAACTATTTGTTCACTGGATTAATAGAAGAATGAACCAAAAAGAGTCTGAGAGCCACAGAAATGCACACAGACTTGAATGGTACTATTGCTACTATTTCCTAAATATTCTACATATTTAAAAACTTTCCTACACTGAGAATGTATTCTTTTTAAAAAGGAAAAATTGTAGGGGCAGGTGGAAGAGGGAGAAAATTGAAAAAGAGACAAAGTGAAAAAAATGGGTAATAGGAATAGTAAAGATGAGACAGCTTTGTCAGTTAAATTTGATTATAACCTCAAATTCCTAACTAACCTCTGTAGATGAAAAGTTAGAGGAATGAATCAAGGCCAGGGTTGAGTCCTGTCTAAGACAGATACAGCTATAAAATGGTAACACTTGTGAAGTCCTCCAACTTCCTGAGAGTGGATAACAATGGCTGTTGGCCTGAAGCTAATTGCAAAGCTGATGAGGTGGAGGTGAGACATGCCTCCTCTCTCCAACTTTTTTTTTTTTTTTTTTTAGACCAATTCTGACACCAGCTGTTCCCCTCTCAGCACTCTATTTCTCTGCTAGGCTTGATAAGTCATTGTGATGGCCACACAGAATTCACAGACCATACTCAGATTTTATTAGGGAAGTAACAGGTTACAATTCAGAATCAGGATTAGTAGTAGGAACAACTCAGGAGACAGGATAGAATTTGTTCTACTGCTCAGCTCCTTCTTGGATGTGCCCACAGGCAGGCAGGCAGACCTCACACTCAGCTATGCCCACCACCAGCCCTCGCTGTCAGCCTCTGCCCTATTCCAAGTGTTACAGCTCTTTAACTCCACTGATAAGTGCTTGGAGGCACCCTACTCACAGGAAGACTTCTGCCCAAAGGCGTTCGACTCTATGGGTCAGCAAGCCCACTGCCACTGTCTGCTGGTCTCATGTTGCTGGTCTTGCACTGTCTCTACTGTTATAACTCTCTCTGTCTGTCTCCTGGGTCTAGGAAGTTCTCAGATCAGGGACCCTAGAGCTAAAGAATATGTTGCGCTCCTGGCTCCTTGTATTGATGGTAGTGAGGTCCCTCCTCAGTCTGTGGGATTGGGTCACTTAAAGCCTAAAACGATGGCAAAGCTGACCGTTTCAGTTACCTAGTGCCACTCTAACAGGAATATACCACAAATGGGATGGCTTTAAGAAACAGGAGTTTATTCTCTTACAGTCTGGAGGCTTTAAGTCTGAGTTCAAAGTGTCAGGCTCTAGGGGCTGTGTGAAAGCCCCTTGCCCTTGGGGTCCAGCTCTGCCTCCTGCTCCTGGCCCACTGAAGCTAGAGGCTTTTCTTCACTCAGACAGCTGCTGGCTGCTGAGGCTGACAATCCCAAGGCTGACAAGTAAAAAGGCACAATCTCAATGTTACAAAACCACATGGCAGGCCATTAATTCAAGTCCATTGAAACTCCCAAGGTCTGCAGAGCATGGCAGGTTGCTGAACAATGACACAGCCATATGCAGGGTTCAAGCATGCCATGAGCTAGAGACTGTTCCCCAAGCCTTCTCCTTATATACAAGAAGTAGACCACAGCCCTAAGGCAGCTACTTAGCTGCTCACAGTAGATTCCACCATGGAGTTGATTACCAGTCTCATCATGGGGAATAATACATCCAGCTGCCCAGTCACTCAACTAGGGCCAGCCAAGTTCACTACCACACTGACCAATCCTATTGGTGGGCCACAGGCATTTATTTGCATAATCCCACCCAATCATTCTGTGGGAGTTACAAGAGTATGGCTAGAAAGGCCATTGAAAGAGAAACTCATTACTCTGCAATCCCATACTGTGCTGGTGGAAACGTAAACAACTTCAACATCTCTTTTTAAACAACTGGGCAATTTGTTTAAACCATTGTAAAACTGTGTTTCCCTCCATCCATTTTAGGAACCTGCCCTAAGGAAATACTTGGCAATTCAAGCAACACTTCATACACTAAGATTTTTCATTGCCACATTATTTTAAATACTAAGAAATTGGAAATCCCCTAAATGTCCACAATACAGACATTAAACTATGGCTATCTATAAAATATGGACCCTTAATGAGATGGATTGACACAGTGGCTGCAACAATGCACTCAAATATAGCAACAATCGTGAGGGTGGTGCAGGACTAGGCATTATGTTGTACATTGGGTCACTAAGAGTCAAAACTGACTCCATGCACCTAACAACAACATAAAATATCTAATCCTGTACTTATAAAGCATGATTATTAAGGACTTCTGGTATGAGAAACGAGTTAAGTTATAATATGAATCGAAAAAAGTAAATTACAAAATTGAATATGCAACGTGATATGACTGTAAAATTAGGCAATCTCACCTACTCCTCACTTAACAACTATCTTGTTATCTGAAATTTCACATTTACGATAATAAAAAGTCTATTTTCCACAACTATTACGTGCATTCCAACACTCATCTGTTTGTTGTACTGTGGTGGCTTGCATGTTGCTGTGAGGCTGGAGGCTATGCTACTGGTATTTCAAATACCAACAGGGTCACCCATGGTGGACAGGTTTCAGCAGAGCTTCCAGACTAAGACAGACTCAGAAGAAGGAAGGAGCCTTTCACTTCTCAAAGAATTGGCCAGTGAAAACCTTATGAATAGCAGTGAAATACTGTCTGATATATTACTGGAAAACTTCATGAGTAGCCATGAAACATTCTCTGATATAGTGCCAGAAGATGAGCCCCTCAGGTTGGAAAGCACTCAAAATATGACTGGGGAAGAACTGCCTCCTCAGAGTAAAGTCGACCTTAATGATGTGGATGTAGTAAATCTTTCGGGACCTCCATTTGCTGATGTGGCATGACTCAAAATGAGAAGAAACAGCTGCAAACATCCATTAATAATTGGAACATGGAATTACGAAGCATGAATCTAGGAAAATTGGAAGCTGTCAAAAATGAAATGGAACACATAAAGATTGATATCCTAGGCATTAGTGAGCTGAAATGGACTGGTCTGGGCCATTTTGAGTCGGACAACCATATGACCTACTATGCTGGGAATGAATAATTAAAGAGGAATGGCATGGCACTCATCATCACAAAGGATGTTTCAAGATCTGTCCTGAAGTACAATGCAGTCAGTGATAAGATAATCTCCATATGCCTACAAGGAAGACCAGTTAATATTACTATCATTCAAATTTACACACCAACCACTAAAGCCAAAGACAATGACCTTGAAGGTTTTTTTTACCAACTTCTGCAGTCTGAAATTGACTGAACATGCAATCAAGATGTGTTGATTATTACCAGTGACTGGCATGCAAAAGTTGGAAACAAAGAAGAATCACGGGTAGTTGGAAAATATGACCTTGGAGATAGAAATGACAGTGGAGATCACATGATAGAATTTTGCAAGATTGATGACTTATTCATTGCAAATACCTTTTTTTCAACAGTACAAATGGCAGCTATATACATGGACTTCACCAGATGGAGTACGTAGAAATCAGATTGACTACATCTGTGGAAAGAGGCAATGGAGAAGCTCAATATCTTCAGCCAAAACAAGGCCAGGAGCTGACTGTGGAACAGACCATCAACTGCAAGTTCAAGTTGAAGTTGAAGACAATTAAAACAAGTCCACAAGAGCCAAGACATGACCTTGATTATATCCCACCTGAATTTAGAGACCATCTAGAGAATAAATTTGATGTATTCAATACCAATCACCAAAAATCAGAGCAATTGTAGGATGACATCAAGAACATCATCCATGAAGAAAGCAAAAGGTCATTAAAAAGACAGGAAAGGAAGAAAAGACCAAAATGGATGTCAGAAGAGATTCTGAAACTTGCCCTTGAATGGAGAGTAGCTAAAGCAAGTGGAAGAAATAACAAGATTAAAGAGTTAATAGAAGATTTCAAAGAGCAGCTCAAGAAGACAAAGTCAATTATTAAAATGAAATGTGGAAAGACCTGGAGTTAGAAAATCAAAAGGGAAGAACAAAAGGGAAGAACTCCGAATTTCTCAAGCTGAAAGAACTGAAGAAAATATTCAAGCCTCAAGTTACAATATTGAAAGATTCTATGAGCAAAATATTGAATGATGCAGGAAACATCAATAGAGGACAGAAGGAATACACATAGTCATTGTACCAAAAAGAGTTGGTTGATGTTCATCCATTTGAAGAGGTGGCATATGATCAAGAACCGATGGTATTGAAGTAAGACATCAAAGCTGCACTGAAGGAATTGGGGAAGAACAAAGCTCCAGGAACTAATGGAATACCCAATGAGATGTTTCAACAAACGGATGCTGTGCTGGAAGCATTTATTCATCTATGCTAAGAAATTTGGAAGACAGATACCTGACCAACTGACTGGAAGAGATACATATTTGTACCCTTCCAAAGAAAGGTGATCTCACAGAATGTGGAAATTATCGAACAATATTAATATCACACACAAGTAAAATCTTGCTGAAGATAATTCAAAAAGAGTTGCAGCAGTGTATTGGTAGAGAATTTCCAGAAATGCAAGCTGGATTCAGAAGAGTACATGGAACGAGGGATATCATTGCTGATGTCAGATGGATCTTGGCTGAAAAGAATACCAGAAAGATGTTTACCTTTGTTTTATTGACTATGCAAAGGCATTTGTGTGGATCATAACTAATTATGGATAACACTGAGAAGAATAGAAATTCTAGAACACTTAATTGTGCTCATGCGGAAACTGTACAAAGACCAGGAGGCTGTGTTTGAACAGAACAAGGGGATACTGAATCGTTTAAAATCAGGAAAGGAGTGCATCAGGGTTGTATCCTTTCCCATACTCATTCAATCTATATGCTGAGCAAATAATCTGAGAAGCTGGACCATATGAAGAAGAGCATGACATCAGGATTGGAGAAAGGCTCATTAACAACCTGTGATAAGTAGAGGACACAACTTTGCTTACTAAAAATGAAGATGACTTAAAGCACTTACTGAAGCAGATTAAAGGCTACGGTGTGCAGTATGGATTACATCTCAACATAAAACTAAAATCCTCACAACTGGACTAATAAGCAACATCATGATAAATGGAGAAAAGATTGAAGTTGTAAAAGATTTCATATTACTTGCTTCCACAATCAACACCTATGGAAGCAGCAGTGAAGAAATCAGACAACGTATTGCACTAGTCAAATCTGCTGCAAAAGACCACTTTAAAGTGCTGAAGAGCAAAGATGTCTCTTTAAAGACTGAGGTGCACCTCACCCAAGCCATGGTATTTTCAATCGCCTCATATGCATGTGAAAGGTAGACAATGAATAAGGAAGACCAAAGAAGAGTTGATGCTTTTGAGTTGTGGTGTGGTAAAGAATGCTGAAAGTACCTCAGACTGCCAGAACTAACAAATCTGTCCTGAAAGAAGTGCAGCTGGAATGCTCCTTGAAAGTGACAATGGCCAGACTTTGTCTGCCCTACTTTGGTCATGTTGTCAGAAGGGACCATCCCCTGGAGGATGCTAACCTGAAGCTTGGCAGTTCAAACCCACCCAGCAGTACTGCAGAAGAAGCCTGTGATCTGCTTCCGTCAAGACTAAAGCCAAGAAAGCCCTATAGAGCAGTTCCGCTACATAGGGTCCTTATGAGTCAGAATCAACTCAACTGCAACTAACAGCAACAAAATATTTATACGTGTGTGTGTGTGTGTGTGTGTATAAAACTAAACTCACTGCCGTCAAGTTGGCTCCAACTCATAGCACACCCTCCCCCTTTGGGTTTCCAAGGCAGTATCACTATGGAAGTAGATAGCCCATTCTTCCTTCCAAGGAGCAGCTGGTGGGTTTGAATCACCAGGATTCTGGTTAGCAGTCAAATGCCTTAGGTGCTACACCACCAGAGCTCCTATCTATATGTATATGTGTATATATTTTTTCTAGGAAAGTATTCTAGAGTATTAAAGTGAGATCAGGTGGACACAGATTCAAATTCTGAGTTGTCATCTTTAGTTTTATGACCCTACTCTCAAGTCTTTCAATCTCTCTGAATCCCAGTTCTCCGTGATTTTTCTTTTCTCTTTTTCTGAAAAGCAATACATAATACTAAAAAGAAAAAAAAAAAAATCCTAACTTCCCTAAGTATTGACATCAAAGTGTTTGAGATTTTGGGATTTGTGTCAGTCCTTCATTCTCCCAGGCATTAAGTGTGCACCTGTGATGGGCCTAGCCCTGAGCAAGTGCTATGGGGGAGGAGGAAAGCACAAAGAAGTCTGGGAACAGAAAACAATGCCCTGATGTGGGAGCTGAGGTGCACCTGTCTTTCTTCCCAGGAAGAAGCAATCATCTTGGGATTCCCAGGAAGGACCTAGGAAGCTGCAAGCAGGCCAGGATCAGACCAAGCCGGGGAGCAAGCTGGGATTGCAGCCTCCCAGGGTCCCTGTAGCATCTGGTTCAGAGAAAGAGCCTGATAGCCAGCAGGGGAGGCAGCCCCCTGAGAGTGGCCAGGTAATCCCCCTGGAGATCTGGGCAGGAGGGCATGGAATGACTGATCCACAGGGGAAGCGAAAGAATCCCCTCTGTCCCCTCGCTTTCCTGTGTATTGTGTTAGTTCTTGTCTGTGCCTGGAGATGCCAAGTGCCCAGTCTACGTGGGTCACTGGGATATCCCAGGAGCCCACACCAAACCTTGATTGTTCACAGCAAACATTTAAGGCATATTTCCAAAGTGGTCCCATAATATGCCAAGGGATGCTGGGTTGGTGGGTGGTCCTGTGTACGAATAAAATTGGAACATGCTAGCTTAACAAAGTTAAAACAGGTTCCTTTATGCTAGGGTTTCCTAGAAGCTATATTTTAGCTACGGAGCTCTGGTGGCGTAGGGGATAAGGCATTTGGCTGCCAACCAGCTGCCATTCAAACCCACCAGCTGCTCCGTGGAAGGAAGATGGGGCGATCTACTTCTGTACAGATTTACTGCCTTGTGAACCCCATGGGGGTCACTACGAGTCAGAATTGACTTGATGGCAGTGGGTCTAGTTTTGGTTTTATATGCTATATACTGTTGTGGATCTTGCAAAAAGTGATTAGAGCATGTTGCCTTTCCAAACTTATTCAGCTACAAAAAAAAAAATCTTCTTATTTTTAAGATTTCATTTTTTAAAAGTTTTGTTGTTGTTGTTGTTGTTGTGGAAATGTATATAACACATTTGCAATTTAACGCTTTTCACATGTATATTAATCATGCTGTGCCGGAACCCACTGCCATGGAGCCGATTCTGATTCATAGTGACCTTATAGGACAGAGAAGAACTACCTCATAGGGTCTCCAAGGCTGTAAATCTTTACAGAAGCAGACTGCCTCACCTTTCTCCCACAGAGCGGCTAGTGTGTTTGAACTACCAACCTTCTGGTTAGCAGCCGAATGCCTTAGCCACTGTACCACCAGGGTTCCTCCTAATCATGTTGTGCAGCTGTCACCAATAGCCATTGCCAAATTTTTCGTCACCACAAACAGAAACTCAGTGCTTCCTGAACATTCCTCCCGCCCCTGGTGACCACTAATAAACTTTTATTTCTATACATCTGTCTATTCTAGGTATTTCAAATGAATGAGATCATACAATATTTGAAATTGTTACTGACTTATTTCAGTTAGGTTTTTTTTTAAAAAAATATACATATAATAGCATTAGTGAGATATAAATGACCTACAATTGTGCATATTTAGACTGTACAATTTGACATATATATATATATATATATATATACCTGAAACCATCACCCAATCAAGAAAATGAGCATATCCATCACCCCAGAAAGTTTCCTTGTGTCCTTTTGGCATCCCTCCTCCCACCCTCCCCATCCCCAGGCAGCCGCTGATCTGCTTTGTTACAATAGATTGGTTTGCATTTCCCAGAACTTCGGTGGAATCACACAGTGTCTTAGCTCTCTAGTGCTGCAATAAAAGAAATGCCACAAGTGGATGGCTTTAACAGACAAAAATTTATTCTCTCACAGTTTAGGAAGCTGTTGTTGTTGTTGTTAGGTGCTGTTGAGTCATCTCCAACTCATAGCAACCTTATGTACAACAGAACGAAACACTGCCCGGTCCTGTGCCAGCCACACAATGCTTGCTATACCTGAGCTCATCGTTGCAGCCACTGTGTCCTTCTAGCAGGAAGCTGTTGTTATGTGCTGTCAAGTCAGCCTTGACTCACAGCGACCCCTCCTTGGGTTTCAGGGGCAGTATCACTACGGAAGTAGATTGCCCCATCTTCCTTCTGAGGAGTGGCTGGTGGGTTTAAACCGCCAGCCTTCTGGTTAGCAGTCAAATGCCTTAGGCACTATGCTACCAGAGCTCCTAGTAGGAAACTAGAAGTCTGAATTTAGGGCACTGACTCCAGGGGAAGGCTTGCTCTCTCTGTTGGCTCTGGGAGAAGGTCTTTTTTCATCTTCTGTTTCATGGCTTCTTGGTGATCTTCATGCAGCGTGAATCTGTCTTTCACCAACTGTACTTCTTCGCTTGTCTGCTTAGTCTGCTCTTTTTATTATCTCAAAGGGATTCATTTGAGACATACCCTACACTTATCCTGCTCATTAATATAACAAAGAAAAACCATTCCCAAATGGGATTAGGATTTACAATACATATTTTGTGGGGGACGCAATTCAATCCATAACATGCAGTCTGCATTCTGTGTAGTCTGGCTGCTTCCACACAGCATTTCTTCATGTTATGATATCGATGCTTCATTCTTTCTGGTCTGAGTAGTATCCCTCTGCATGGGTGGCTATCTCACAATTTGTCTATTCACCAATTAGAGGACATCTGAGCTGTTTCCAGTTTGAATATTCATGCCCAAGACTTTGTATGGACATACGATTTTTTTTTTGGACATATGATTTCATCTCTCTTGGATACATACATAAGAATAAAATGGATTTTATGGTGTATATGTGCTTAACTTTTAATGAAATTGCCAACATGTTTTCCAGAGTGGTTGTACTATTTTCCTTCCTCAACAATGTATAAAAATTTCAGTTGTTTTTTATCTTTACTGAAATTTGCGATGGTCAGTCTTTTAGATTGTAGTCATTCTAATAGATATATATGGAAGAATCACATTGTGTTTTTAATTTTTAATCCCCCAATGACGAGTGGGGAGGTCTGGTGGCATAGTGCCTAGTGCATTTGACTGCTAACCAGAAGGCTGGTGGTTCAAACCCACAAGCCACTCCTCGAAAGGAAGATGTGGCAATCTACTTCCGTAGAGATACCACCTGGGAAACCCAAGAGGGGTCACTATGAATCAGATCCAACTCTATGTTAGTGAGAATGACCAGTGAGGAGCCCTGGTGGCACAGTGGTTAACTGCTTAGCTGCTAACCAAAATTTGAACCCACCAGCCACTCCTCAGGAAAAAGATGTGGCTCCTGAAAGGATTTATATAGCCTTGGAACCCCTATGGGGCAGAGCTGCTCCGTCCTATAGAGTTGCTATGAGTCAGAATTGATTAAACAGCAATGGACTTGGTTTTAATGACTAGTGAGAAGGAGCCCTGATGGCACAGTGATTAAAGCACTTGGTTGCTAACCAAAAGGTCGAACAGCTCAAACTCTCTAGCCACTCTTCAAGAGAAAGATGACATAGTGTGTTTCCATAAAGATTACAGCCTTGGAAACCCTGTGGGGCAATTCTCCGCTCTACAGGGTTGCTATGGGTTGGAATTGACTTGACAGCATTGGGTATTAATGACTAGTGATATTTTCTGTGTGCTTATTCGCTCAGTAGTTAAACTCTTGGCTGCTAACTGAAAGGTAAGTGGTGTGAACCCAACCATTTCATGATAGAAAAGTGTGGCAGTCTGCTTTTATAAAGATTACAGCCTTGGAAACCCTACGGGGAAGTTCTACTCTGTCCTATAGGTTCACCGAGTCAGAATAGACTCACAGTGAAGGGTTTTATTTTTTGTTTTCTTTTTTGGTATGTCTTCTTTAGTAAAGTCTCTCTTCAAATCTTTGCCTTTTTTTTCTTTATGTATTTGTTTTGCATTTTAATTGAGATATAATCAACATACCAATAAAATTCACCATTTTAAGGGATACAAATCAGTGGTTGTTAGTACAGGTATGCACTGTGTAACTTTCACTGGAACCACTTCCAACTGCATATACATCAGTGGTCTTATAAGTGGTCTTATGAGAGGACATTGGGTACCTAGAGCTGGGCAGCTACACGGGGCTGCACGGGAGGGTTAACGTAGGCAGGTGTCTCTCGTCGGCCCACCGGCTGTCCTGTGTACTGCCGATAGTGGTACCTCTGGTGCTGGATGAGAAAGGCTTTTCGCCCAAGGGTGTCCGCAAGTTCCGGAAGAGGTGGGAAGGACTGCGGAAAAAGCCTAGCCGCACTCGCAGCCCTTGTGGGACTTCTGGCGGTTGTGGATGAGCAGGTGCTGAGTGAAGTTAAGGGCTGTAGCCGAAGGTCTTGCCTCGCTGGCTACACTCTGATGGCCTCTTGCCCATGTAGGTGCGGCGGTGCTGGATGAAGGGACCAGCCGTGGAAGTGCATGCTGCAGTCGTGGTAGGCATAGGGCTTCTCGCCCGTGTGGATGCGCTGGTGCTTCAGCAGCAGCGAGTTGTGCTTGATGCTCTTGCCTTAGGTCTCGCAGTGGTGCAGCTTCCCTCCCGGAGTGCGCCTCTGCTGGTCTCAGAAGCTCACGCCCATACCAAGGCTGCTGCCCAGCTCCTCCCACCCACAGGGGCCGCCCCTGGTCCCGGGGCTCCCTGCGATGGGAGCGTCGAGCGCCAAGCACCGCTTCTCAGGGTGAAGAGTCCAACCCCTGCTGGCTGGCCCGCGGCTGCTCCAGACTGGTCGCTGGTCCAAAGCTGTCCCCACACTTGGGTCTGCCAGGAAGGGCGCTCAGCAGGCTCTTCAGCACCCCTGCTTCTTGGCCCACCTTCACCTCAGGAAGGTCTGGCAGTGGAGACGGTGGCGCCTTCCCGGACTCTGACCCATCAGCGGGCCACGATGTGTTTCTCCCCTCCTGGACTTCCTGGATGTCTTCCGGTCCAACAGCTCCTCCTCTGGCTGCGGTTGGAGAGCACCTCAGCGCTGGAGGGGTGGGGTGTTATGTAGATGATCGTGGAGGTGAAGCAAGGCCTTGTGGGCTCCAGGAGGTGTGCCTCTTGCTGAGAGACTGACGGGGCGGGATAGGAGAGGTCTCCTGCCATCTTCCCCAAGGCCTCCTGCAGAGGTACACACCTGGGACGCCTATCCTCGCTGTCTGAGCGCCAGAGGGGGTCTCAGAGTGGAAGCCCCTTCAGCTCATAGGGCTGCAGACCTTGGCTCTGACCGGGCCCCCCGCAGCTGCAACAGCACCCGTGCCACCAGGTCAGGAACAAACACTCCTCCACCCCCTCTTCTCAGCTGGGCGCATTGTGCTCATGAAGCAGGGCATGGTCGCAGAGAGCTTAGGGCAGAGAGCAGCAGCACTTGGGCTTTGGCCCGCAGCTCCCCAAAAGGCATGTGATCTCAGACATTATGTGATTTGAACGTTGTGGGAATACCTATGGTTTGCACAATGCACAAATCACAAAATGTCCTATTACACGGAACACATCATGGTTGTTAAACAAGTTTCTCAGACCTGTATAATCACAAAGTTGTGCAACTATCACCACTATTTAATTGCAGAACATTCCATCACCTCAAACAGAAACGATGTAACACTGGTCACTTGCAACCACTAATCTAATTTCTATTTCTGTGAATTTGCCTATTTGGGACATTACATACAAATTGAACCACGTAATATGTGGTCTTTTCATACGATCCTCAGACTATATGATCATGAGACCAGAACTAGATGGTGCCCAGCTACCACGATCAACCATTGGGGGGGACATCTGTGTAGGAGATCCTGGGTAGAGTGGGAGAACAATGTGGAACAAAACTCAATATGTGTGTATGTATATATATGTATATGTGTGTGTGTGTGTATATATATATATATGTATATGTATATGTGTGTGTATATATATATATATGTATATGTGTGTGTGTATATATATATGTGTATGTATATGTGTATACACATATATATATATGTTGTTCAGTGCTGTTGAGTCAGACTCAACTCATAGTGACCGCTCCTTGGATTTCCGAGGTGGTGTCACTACAGAAGTAGATTCCCTCATCTTCCTTCCGAGGAGTGGCTGGTGGGTTTGAACTGCCAGCCTTCTGGTTAACAGTCACGTGCCTTAGGCACTACGCTACCAGAGCCCATATATATATATATAAAACCAGGTTTGCTGGTTTGAAAGAGCCTGGTGAAACCCCTGAGCCTATGGCCCCTAGCTGCTCTTCGGGTCTAGAATTGAACTCACTCTTGTGGCTTCCAGCCAAGTAAAAGGCATATGGGCTGAACATTTACATTAGGTAGATACACTCCTTGGAGAGATCAGTCATGGGAGAACAGAAGGGCAGTGTATGCAGAGGGAGATAGCTCGGGAAGCAGCAGTGCATGGGAGGGAAGGGCACAGGGAAAAGGTAACTATGGGGAGGAAGTGGGAAGAGAGCTGTTACACTGTGGGAAACTGCAGTCAATGTCATGAGACAAAATGTGTATGAACTGCTGTATGGAAAATGAAATTGCTCTGTAAACTTTCACCCAAATCACAATAAAAATTTTTTTAAAAAATGATGCATTAAAAAAATATGTGATCTTTTGTGTCTAGCTTCCCTCAATTAGTATAAGGTTTTCAAAGATCATTCAAGTTGTGGCATGTATCAGTACTTCATTCCTTTTTGTGGCCAAATAATAATCCACTGTCTGGCTACCACATTTTGTTTATCCAATCATTAGTTGATGGACACTTGGGTTGTTTCCATTTCTTGGATAATATGAATAAGGCTGCTGTGAACATTTGTCTACAAGTTTTTGTGTGCACATGTTTTAATTTCTCTTGGTATATACCTAGAAGTAGATTTGCTGGATTATATGATAACTCCATGTTTAGCCTTTTGAGAAATTGCCAGGCTATTTTCCAATGTGATTACATCGTTTTAGATTCCTACTAGCAATGTTTGAGTTCCAATTTCTCTACATCCTCTCCAACACTTGTTATTATCTGTCTTTTTTATCTCAGTCATTGTAGTGAGTATGACGTGGTATCTCACTGTGATTTTAATTTGCATTTTCTTAATGCTGATGATGCTGAGCATCTTTGTATGTGTTTATTGGCCATTTGTAGAGGGTCAAAGAAAAAGGGGAAGACCCTCAATGGGATGGATTGACACAGTGGTTGCAACAATGGGCTCAAGCTTAGCAAGGATTATGAGGATGGCTCAGGACCAGGCAGTGTTTCCTTCATAGGGTCCCTGCAAGTTGGAATTGACTCGATGGCACCTAACAATAACAACAACATTGGCCGTTTGTGTATTTTCTTGGGAGAAATGTCAATTCAGATTCTGTCTATTTTTAAATTGGCTTTTTTTTTTAATTGTCGATTTGCTAGAATTCTTTATATGATCTGGATATCAGGCCCTTAAATATATGATTTACAAATATTTCCTCCTATTTTGTGGGTTGTTTTTACTTTCTTCCTTTTTTAAAAAACTTGTGTTGCTTGTTTTCTTATTATTGAGTTTTGAGAGTATTTTTATATTCTGAATAAGGTCTTTTAGCCGATATGTGATTTGAAAAAATATTTCCTCCCATCTGTGACTTTTCTTTTCCTTCTTTTACAGAGACTTTTAAAGAACAGAAGTTTTTAATTTTAAAGAAATCTAATTTTCAATTTTTTTCTTTTATGGGTCTGCTTTTGCATAACATAATCATATTAGGAATCTTTGTATAACCCAAGATCAGAAAGATTTGCTCATATGTTTCTTCTGGAAGTTTTATAGTTCTAGATTTAGCATATAGGTTTATGATCTGATCCATCTTGAATTAATTTTTTGTATATGGTGAGGTTCACTTTTTTGCACATGGCTATTCAAATTATCCCAGCACTATTTGTTGAAAACTGTCCTTTTCCAGAAACCCAAGGAGGGGTTGCTATGAGTCGGGTCCGACTCGACGACACATAACAGCAAACAACAACATCCTTTTCCCATAGAATTTGTACCTTTGTAAAAAATCAATTGACCATGTACACGTGGATCTATTTCTATTTTTGTCCATTGATCTATTTATCTATTCTTATTCCAATACCATAAGGAGTTCTGGTGGCATAGTGGGTAAGGCTTTTGGCTGCTAACCAGAAGTTTGGCAGTTCAAACCCACCAGCCACTCCAGGGGAGGAAGATGAGGTAATCTGCTTCTGTAAAGATTTACAGCCTTGGAAACCCAATGGGGGTTGCTTTAAGTTGGAACTTACTCAATGGCAGTGAGTTTTGGCTTGGTGTATTCCAATACCATAGTATCTTGATTACAGTGGTTTTATGATAAATCTTTAAATCAGTGACTGTTAAAACCTCTTTTTCTAAGGCATACCACAAAGGACTTTTCTTCTTTGAAATGACTTTAGGGAAATCCCAATTAAAAGGGATTTTCTCACTTTCTTCAGGCTCCCTTTCTACCCCCAGAGTAAAGCAAATGGATTATGGCTTTGGGTAGGCCACACATTCTCTGGGCCTCAATTTCCTTATTCCCTCAACATGGAGTACCTGTGCTACCTTCAGGGGGTGCTGGGAGAACTCAGTAAGATGATGCCTGCTGTGCCTGGGCCCAGGAGGAAGGAGCAGAAGTATTGGAGCATTTAGATTCAAACTGGGGAAAGTGTGAGTGTGCACCTTCGTGAATGCTCATGTATTTATGTGCATGACAACTGGTCTTTGAGTGAATGTTACAATTTACCTGTGAGCCAGAATGGGGCTCTCTATCCTTGGTGTCCTTGTCCTCAGCAGAATCTGGAGGGTCAACCAACCCCAGGTCACCAGGTGGCAAATGGGCCAGACATGACACAGTCAACAGAGCCTTCTTGCACCTTGGACACCTGTGGAGAACCCCTGGGAGACAAGCCTCCCAAGAAGGCAAGTACCCTGTATATCAACACAGAGGGCACTCTACCACAGCCAGGGCCCAGAAGGCATGAGGTTGGTTCCCAGGAAGCAATGCCCCTCACGCCATTGGCAACCCTGGAAGAAAAGATGGACAACCTTTTCCAGCCATCAAAGCCAGGATCTGAAACACCTGAAGGAGGGTGAGTCACCCCCTCAGACCACCCCTGCCTTGTCCTTTGCCACCAGCAAGGTGGCTCTTCTGCTAAGTTACATGTGAGACAAATCCTAGTTCTGACTGCTCCTCACCTGATTAAGACCTAGGGTAAATCAGGCCCTCTCTGGACCTCAATTTGCCTGTCTGTAAAATGGGATATTAGAATAAATGCCCTCTGAGGAATTTCTTAGCTCTATTCTAAGAATTCTTTGTCTCATGGGCCTCTCCTTTAAGGGCCATGATCCCACTGGGCATGTGAGGAAATGAGGGGCCCCTTTAAGATCCGAAAGCCAAGGTGGTGAAGCTGGGGTAGTGGAGCTCAGAGACCTGGGAGTTGAGAAAAGGTGGCTGCAAGGCACAAACCCAGAGCTGAACCTCTCCCCCACTGGGGGGCGTTTCCTCCTGTTTAGGGGAGAGGCTGTGGAGACCCAGTCAGCCCCAGAACCTGTTCCTCCACCAGTAAGTAGGGTCAAAGTGGGGGTGGATGGGCAAAGTGGAGGAATCAGGAAGAGGAAGGGGGCAGGGGCAGAAGTATTGGAGCATTTGGAGTCAAACTGAGTTAAGTGTGAGTGTGTGCCTCTGTGAATGTACTCATGTATATGTGTGTACATGTGTATGCACATACATGGCTGTGTGTTTATAGGTGTTTTTGGTGGGGGTCAATTATGGTCTTACACTCTGGACCCCTTAGGTTCATTCCTTTTCCACATCAGCATGGCTTTCTTTGGGAGCTCTCGTGGCATAGTGCCTAAGGCATTTGACTGTTAACCAGAAGACTGGTGGTTCAATTTGGGCAATCTACTTCCATAGTGATTCTGCCTTGGAAATCCAAGGAGGGGTCACTATGAGTCAGATCCGACTCGACAACAGTGAGATGACTTTCTTTGATTCGTTTGTTCTCAGCCACACAATCCAGAGTTTCAGGAACACAGGAGACTTCCCTGACCCCCTCCCATCCACCCACCTAACTATCAAGGAAGTAGTTCTGCCACTTCCTGGCTCTCTGACCTGACCAGGCAGCCTGTGAGCACATAGTTAACCATCATAATGCCCTTAACACACCTTCAGGTCTTTCTGCTGTATTCACTGGCAGAACTGCAACCCAGCTAACCCAACCATCCACTTACCCCACACCTGCACCTGAGCAGCTCAAATGATGAACAAAAAGCCTGTCTTGTGAATGGGTTTCACTTCAAGCCATAGCCACTAATCTCAGGTACTCTGGGCAATCCTCTGCTGTTCCCTAACTTACTGTCCCCTTCTGCTCCAGGATGTGGGTTCACAATAGCACACCCCAAGCCTTTCATCTTGCTAATGATCTCACCTCCTGTGTCATGAAGCATCAGATGAGAATACTCACCGTATCTCCCACCCCCAAGTCCACCCCCTTCCTGCCTTCACTTGGTTCCAATGGAATCTGTGAAGATACAAAGCAATGCTGGCCCCTCTGCTTCCACATCCTCCTTCCCCTCTTCCCTTCCCTACATGAACAATGTATCTATTTCTATGGGGACATTCCCAACAACACTGTCATAGAACAAACAATAACAACAAAAATGCCTCTCTTGACCCACATTCCCCTCTAGTCACCACCTTATTTCCTTGTTTTCTTTCCCAACACGATTCTTCAAGAATTGTCCACACTCACTTGCTCTACTTTCTTGTCTTTCCTCAACCCATCCAAATATGAGACCTGCTCTTAAGTTCCCAACAATCTCCACTTCATTAAGTCAAATGGAAAATCTCTGTCTTTGGAGCTCCCATCTTGAAACAGTATCTCTCCCTCCTCCTCACTACCTCCTTCTCCAGACTCCTGGACAGCCACCTTGTGGCTCTACTGCTGCTGCCCTGGCAGCTCCTGGCAGTCTCTTTCTCTGGTTGCTCCTATTTGCTCAACCTCATGGCTCCACAGACGACTCTATCCTCAGATCTCTCCTTAAGCAATATCATTTAGTCCCTCTGATGATTCCCAAATCCATATCTCCTCCCAGCCTTTGCCTTTAAACTCCAGATGCATGTATTTGGCTGCCTAATTTAATTCCACTGGAATGGCTAATTCACTTCCCCAAACAGAATGTTTTCCACCTGAGCCTGTTCCTCCCCTAGTCTTCCTCATTTCAGCAAATGACACCATCATTCACTCAGGTGCTCATGCCAACTAACTTGAAATGACCTCTGACTCTTCTTTTTCCAGCTATAACTCCTTCATACCCGTTGCATCAATAAGGCCTGCCTAACACTACCTACAAAATAAATTCTGAATCCATCCCTCCCTTCTTTCCACTTCCTCTCCCATCATCCTGGTCCAAGCCTCCTCCTCTTAGACTAAGATCCAAAGTCTTCACTAAGATACATAAGACCCTACACCCAGCCAACCTGGTCTGATTTCCAACCCTTGAATCTGCTAAGCTTGTTCCCACCTTAAGGCCTTCACACTTGCTATTCTTTCCCACAGACTTTCTCATGGCTGACTCCACAGAGTCATTTAAGTTTTTCAGCATGACCTTCCCTGGCCACCCAATCTCAAGTAGCTTTTCAACCTCAGTCACTCTATCACATTACCCTGGTTTATTGTCTGTAGTAATTCTTCTATCTGATGTTTTATTACTTAGTTAACTTATTTATTATCTAGCATGTAAGCTCCATGAGAGTAGCCACTCTGTTTTATTCACTACTCCATGTTCTATGCCTACAACAATGCCTAGCACATAGCAGGTATTCAGTATGCATTCCTTGAATACATGAAGGGATGAGAATAATTCAAGATGCCCCTCTGAACTGATGAGAAATCAGATGAGAAATTTGTCATAGTCCCCTCCCCACCACATGCAAAACCTGGGCTGGATATTGTGGGAAGAGGAGTGGAGCAGGCATAATTTGATTCTACAAATTTGGACTTAGTGTCTAGTGCACTCCAGGTCTTGTGCTTGGAGTAGGAGGGTGAGGAAAGCTGGGAGCTTCACCCTGTTTCTGAAGATCATGGGACCGGCAGAGATGAGGGGGCCCAGATTTATGGCCCTGAGAGGGAATATTGTAGACATTCAAGCAAGAATATCTAGAGCCATCAGGGGAGATTTTCTGGAGGAGGAGGACTGATATTAGGCCATGCAAGATGGATAGAATTTGGAGAGGAGGTAGAAAGGGCACGTAGATAGCAGGCCCAGCATAAACAAAGGTACAGAGATGGGAGTGACTTGGAATAGGGAAGACAATGGAAAGATGGGCCTGGTGGGACAAGAATATTTGAGATAGTGGACATTTCCCCACCTGCCCTTGGTTGAAAGATAGGTTGGGCCATGATATAAAGCTCCAAGACTGGAGTGAGGTGTTTGGACTTGACCCTCCAATGTACTGCTTAACATTTTGCACAATGCTGAGCCTAGAGCCGTACTGGGAGCTCCCTGACAGCAGACACTTAGGCATCCCTGTGTCCCTATGACTGTGAGTATGTGTTGCACAGATAGGTGGAGGGATTAGTCTGAAGGTCATAGGGAGCCAGGCTTAGCAGGACAGTGACAAAGAAGAGGGGCAGGGAGTTTAGTCTGGCAGCATACACAGCACATGTAGTGCCAGAAAGGGCACCAGGGAAGGCAGAAGAAGATGTGAGAGGGGCTGAGAAATAAAGGAAAGATGCCAGGGCCTTCACATCATCCTTGCTCACAGGCTGAGAGCCTGCTGGGAACAAAGTTCTGTGCTGGGGCCTGGAACAAGGGAAGTTCTGAAATAGATCTATACTACTATCTTTGGGGCTCAGAGGCTGGATCAGGAGATGGGGCCAGGGAGAGCCCTGTAGCTCCTGGGTAGCCATCTGGGGCCACCATCACTATGGATTGTGGGGGCTCCCAGGACTGCTTTTGAAACTGTGTATTTCCCTCAATTCAGGAAAGCAATCAAAGGAGTCTTTGAAGGGAGGAAAGTTGGGTCTCCCTGTTGGACTGCAGAATTCTCAACTATAATTATTTCACTGCCATTTGCTGAGCCCTGCATTAAATGCTTTATCTTCATTATCTTGCTTCTCAGACATCACTGAGAAAATGAAAATAATTGGAGAGGAACGCCTCCTCCATCTTTACTGAGAACTATGTATCAGGGACAGTTGTGGTACTGGGAACTTACTAGTGAATGGAGTGTACAATCTAGTTGAAAGAGAGAAGCCATGAACATATCAACACACAAATAATCAGCATCACTCTAGAAAAAAGCCCTGGTGGCACAATGATTAAGTGCTCAGCTGCTGAGAGGTTAGTGGTTTGAACTGACCAGTGGCTCTGCAGGGGAAGAGATTTGGCAATCTACTCCCATAAAGATTATAGCCTAGAAAGCCTTGTATGGCAGTTCTACTCTGTCCTATAGGGTTGCCATGAGTTAGAATCAACTTCACACACACAACAACAAGAATAACATCACTATAAACAAACAAAAGAAAAAACCCCAACTCACTGCTGTTGAGTTGATTCCAACTTATAGTGACCCCCTTTGGATTTCTGAGGTGGTAAATCTTTATCGAAGTAGATAGCCCAATCTTCCTTCTGTGGAGTGGCTGGTGGGTTTGAACTGCCAACCTTCTGGTTAGCAGTCAAATGCCTTAGGCACTGCTGTGAAGCAAATCAAGCTGTATAAGGGGCCAGTGAGTGATTTGGAGGATGGATGCTTTGGATGGTGTGCTCAGTGGTCCAGGAGGTGACATTTGAGTCAAGACCTAAATGACAAAAAAGAGTAAGCCCCGGGCAGGTCCAGGAGAACACAGCAAAGATAAGCTTGGAGCTTGTCAGGATCAAGCCCAGCATGAAGACCATAAGAGGGAATGGGCCTATTATGATGGCCCATTATGGATGATCCCATAATGAGGGATGGGCCAGGATGGGAAATGAGGTCAGAGACATGGCAGGGCCAGATGGTGCAGGGCCTTGAAGACCAGGGTAAGAGTTTTTAATTGAATTCTAAGTCACGAGAAGCCACTGAAGAGAGTGAATGTAAACTGGAAACATAGCAGCTGGAGGGATAATGAACTTGGGTGGGGGTCAAAAGTGGACACTATGGCCATACACTGGACAAGAGATGGTGGTCTAACTTGGACTAGAGTGCTAGCAGCAGAAATGAGGACAGCGCTTGGGTTTGGCATAGATTCTGGAGGTGGTGCAGACAGAACTTGCTGGCAGGCTGCAGGGTGAAGAGGAGAGTGGGAGAAAGAGGAATACAAAGGCACTCTAGGTCTGGGGCCTGAGCAACAGGCGGTGTCACCAACAGAGGTGGTGACACTGGGGAAGGGTCAAGTGGGAAGAATCTAAGTTTCTGCTTTGGCCATGTTCTAGACACTCAAGAAGAAATGTCAAGGAGAACATTTGGGGTTAAGAAGGACACAGGAGTCAGAATTGGAGTTGTAAACATGAGAAAGATAAGAGCTATGGAGAGAAGATGATATCTAGAGACAAAGTGAATATAGAGAGGAGAGAGATTTGAGAACAAACTCTTGGGCCTCCCCACCATTTAGAAGTAGAGCAAGAATGATGGGAAGCCAGTGAAGGAGATGGGGAGGAGTAGTCAATGAAGTGATGGGAGTCCAGAGAAGAAAGTGTTTCCAGAAGGATGGAGTAGTCATCTGTGTTGAGCACTGCTGAGGGGTAGACTGAGATAAGGGCAGTGATGTGGCCATGGCCATGGTAAGAGCAGCTTGGGGAGTGGTGGGCAGAAGCCAGGCTAGAATGCATTGCAGAGAGAATGGGAGGAAAGTGAGACCAAGTACAGCCAACTCTTTCAAAGAAATTTGCTATTAAGGGGAGTGAAAACTAGGATGGCAGCTGGAGGGATTTGCAGAGACAAGAGAGGGTGTTTTTACATTTTTATTTTATTATTTTTTGGTGAAAGTTTACAGAGCACATTAGTTTTCCATTCAACAATTTATACACATTTTGTTTTGTAATGTTACTTGTCGTTCCCTCAATGTAAAAGATTAGTTTTTTAATAGAAGAAAGATATCACAGCATATTTATATGTTGATGGGAGGAATCTGGTGTAGAAAATAACTCATAATGCTGGACGAGAGTGTTCAAGAGCAGTGTCTTTGAAGTGGAGGAAGGGCTGGTCTGGAGTCACCATGGCCTGGCCTAGATAGCCTATCCCTGTCAGTGGAGGGAAGGGAACAGACACAAGACGTGGCTGGGTTTGCTGAATGAATGAATAGAAACCACTTGATATATGGTGGTTGCTGGGCATACATGGGTAGAAGAGACATGGCTCTGCCCTCATGCAGCTTACCTTCTGATCATCAAGTAAACAATGGGTGTGAACAGTGCCATTCTAATGTTGTGCTAAGGGCAATGAAAGAAATAAGTCAAGGGGTGTGACTGAGAGTAACCGGGTTAACTTGCTTGATACCACAGCTCACAGAGCTCGGGTATGGCTGAGCAATCAGTGAGGGGAGGGCCTGGAGGGCCTGGAATGTGGAGCTGACTGGGATGTGTGTGAGATTAGGAACATGTCCTCCAAGGGCTCAGAGAGAAAGGGGCAGTGTGAGGAGCCCTGGAGAGTGGGTGGCAGAAACTGTGGAAACAGCCTGGCCAACTGGAGGCCTTCTGACTCCCCTGTCCCCTGTCCCAAGGAGGTGAGGGACATCAGAGAGAGGAGGGAGCTGGACCATATGCAGAAGCAGCCTCAGGAGTCCACGGTGGCCATAGGGCCCCAGAACTTTGGGAACCCCTGGCAGGGCTTCATGAAGTGCTTGCTGGAGGTAGAGGAGGAGGAGGAGGCTACGCATCAGAGGGCCACCAGGGCCCAGTCCCTGTCACCCCGGAAGCCACTTGGGACTCTGACACCTGTGCCCACCTCAGGCCCTATTGGCAATTCAGTCCCAAGCCTGCCTCTGACCCTGGGTCAGACCCTGACCTCAGCCCCTCCTGTGGCCCTGTCCTGGGTCCGGCCACCTACCTCTGGGCCAGGGTCTGCTGCCATGTGTGTTCCAGTCCCTTCCTCAGTGCCCAGCCCAGTACTGCTAACCCCTGCCCTGAACCTGGCCTGGAGGAGGGCAGAATTCTTGCAGCAGAGCTGTGACAGAAGCCTGAGCTACGCCAAGACGCGGTAGGACCCCACCATTACCCACCCACCCCTGGCAGCCCACCTGATTAGAGCCTGAGTCCCAGTGCCCCTGCATCTCACTCCTCCAGACTTTTGTTACCGGCACTGATCCTGTCCTTTCCCTCTGTATTTCCCTCTCTCTGTCTCCTCACTTCTGTCTCTGCTCTATCACCAGCCTCTGTCTCTTTTCCCATATCTGAGTCCCTTTATCTAAATTCCTCATGGTGTCTCTCTTCCTTCATGTCCCCTCTGTTGTCTCTCCTCCTGGGCCTCCTTTGTCTCCTCATTCTTGGACTCCCCTGACCTCCCAAAGCCGCTCCAGTGTTGTTTCCTATGATGACCTCCACCCCAGCTTCCCCCTCCTCTCCTCTAGCTTTGGAGACCAGTTCTGGACTGGGGTGGGGCTGGATGTGTGCCCTGGCGCATCTCTGTCCTCTGCAGGCAGGAGCAGGAGGAGCGCAGCCTCCTGAAGTTGTATCAGAATTGGGAGGAGAGGTCCGAGGAGCACCTCACCCTGAAGCAAGAAGAAGGTGAGGGTAGGCCTGGCCCAATCAGAGCCCCTAGGCCTGCCTTTGGGTTCTAGGCCTGGGGAAGGGGTGGGGGGAGGTAGATTAACAGATCATACTGCCACCTCCCAGCATTGCTCGATGCTCGCCACAGCCCTCTGTAGTGGACCCCGTGGGCATTACCTGCACTTGGCCTGGGGAGACAGTGCAGGATTGGAGGCCTACTGAGCTCATGCGGCTGCTGGGCAAGGGAGCCACAATGCACGCAGAGTCCTAAGACTCTAGTCCATGCTCTTCCCAGTTCAAGAGCTGCCCTTCTCTAAGTAAGCTAAGCAAGCTCGGCCAAGAGCTTTAAGTTTTAGGTTCCTGCCTCTCCCAACCCAAGACTGCTCTATTGATGCTCTTCTGAGGCAGCCTGGGTGGCAGACAAGGCTCTAGGATCCCTCGCCAGCCCTGGACAGCCCCTCACTGTTCAAGAACACAGTTTGTCCAGAGCAGGTTCCCCATTTCCCAGTGCATCACACCCCTCCTCCCAATGGAAAAGTTCTACACACTCACACTTTGTGAGATGCGAGAACTTCTATTCTCCATTATCCATGGCTCTTGCCTTCTTGACCCCATTCCACCCTCTGGCCCAAGAGGAGGAGCATTGTCACTGCTGTCCATGGGCTCCAAGTTTGCCTGATCAGCCTGTCCGTCCACACTGCCACCCTAGCCACACCTTGCCTTAGCCCTAGACAAATGAAGGTGCATCATCCTGCCAATCCTGTGGTCCTCCCCAGTCTGTGACCTCTTGGCCAGAATGGCCCCTTTCTACTCTTCCTTGAATATTCTATCTGGCTCTCCAGGATGCTTGAAGTTCACTCCTTTTAACATTAAAATTAGTCATTGTGTGTGGGGGGTGTACTTTTCTAAGTGTGGACTCTCTGGGTGATGCAACAGTTAACATGCTCAGCTGCTAACTGAAAGATTGGAGGTTTGAACATACACAGCCTCAGAGAAAGGCCTTGTGACCTACTTCCAAAAAACTCGGCCATTGAAAACCCTATGGAGCACAGTTCTACTCTGACACACATGGGGTCTCCATGAGTCAGAGTCAGCTCAACAGGAACTGCTCTGATCTCGTCCGGTTTCTAAGTACAGGACCCCCTGCCCTGCCTCCATCAACAGGATTCATGAACAGCAAGCCACTTTGACAGAGAGACTCAGGGTGCCCCCCATGACCATAAGTTCCTCTCTAGGGAGAAACGAACTGATCGCCCTGTTCGGATGGCCCAAACCACTGTGCATTTCGGCTGATCTCATCTGCTTTTAAGAGTTGCTCCATTTTCTCCCTTTTTTTGGTGTGCATGCTCATAGCAGATCCCTATCTACCCCACCCATAATCTTAGACCCCCACCTGTTCCCCCTATTTCAGCTGTTTGTCAACACAGAGTCTATCATGTGCCCAGCACTGAATTAATACAACTCTATGAGGTTGTGGTTGTTAGGTCCATCTTACAGATAAGGACATCGAGGCTCAGAGAATCCAGGCATCTTCCTGGCCCTCTGATTCTGTTCTGGAAGCTATGTCCATCCAGATAAGTGACTGCAGAGCACTGCACTTAATAGCACAGACTTAGTGTGGTGGTAGGAGCTCTGGTGGTGTAATGCCTAAGGCATTTGACTGCTAACCAGAAGGCTGGCGGTTCAAACCCACCAG